ATACAAGCATGATTAATTGTTTAATTAAATGAAAAGGAAGAAATATTCAGTGACAAGCAATTCCAATTACTCTAGAGCCATTTACAATTTTTTTCTTTTGTTGAAGCTTGGCAGTGATGGCTTGCTTGTTGTCATAAAGGGAATAAAACCTGATTACTTGTAGGAACTTGTCTGCCAAACTGCTCAAAACATTGGTTATTTTCTAACAGAAACAAAATAATGTAACTTTTAAAGCACAAGTTTTTGAATTCCTTTTCTAAAATATATAACCTATGGATCAAAATTTGAACTAAAAAGATGGTATGCAGAATTTCTCTAGTATGTTATGGTTTTGTAACTGGTCAAAATAATGGGTATTAAACAAAAGCACATTTAAAAAACAAAAAAAACTTTCTGGGCCAAAGCATCAAAATTTTGAGCAAGAAAATAGAATTTGTCTGCTGAACACTGTTATTGTGTGGTTTTGTAAATTATCATCAAAGCTGTTATAAGAAGATGAATATTTAAAACTACCAATAGAACAGGTACAGTGTCCAGTGCTTACGTCTGTGCATGTTATATCCCTCGACAGTTGGTAATTGAAAAGAGCAGACTAATGCCACTGTCCTGGCAAAATTTTCCTCATTTCCTGCATGGCGTGCCTGACTTCTTTTGGCCACTTGATGCAGAAAAGTAGGACGTAAAACTCCATTCATTTCATTTTCATTTTTGTAACATAAACTTTCCACTCAATATTAATACTTCAATAACAATCTTCAAATTTCAGAAAAAGCTCTTGAAAATAATTATTTGGAGAAACATCTCCTTGAAAATAGTTAAGATATATTTTAATTAGTAATTAACGATTAGTATCGTTTGACCTAGTAATTATTTTACAACCTTCAAGAATGTTGCTATGGAATTTTTACATTTATAAAGTTTAAAATGGAAGAAACACATTGAAACATTGTAGAAAACTATAACCATTGATTGCTGTTCCATAAAGCTGTGCCTATGATGCATGTATGGTGGCCTTTTTCTTGATGTGCATCCATGATTGGGATATGACAGCCATTATAAGTTCAACTGGTAGGATATGGGAATAAAATTTTAATATTTGATCCTTAGCCTTCTTCTCTAAGCAAGCAAACTGTTTATTTTTTACAAGCTTATGAATTTAGTGGTCATTGGCATTTAAGTATTTGTAGAGGAGAAACATTAATGTATACTCTCCGAAAGTGATAAAACAAGTTGCAAAGTGGGGTTAGGTGCTCCATCAGACGAGGTGAACAACACCCAACACTTTACTAATTTTAGTGATGCATGAGAATGGCGCTCGGCATTAGGCAGTTTAAAAGAAGGAAAGATATTTTTACAAGGATAACAACATAGATTCACAGTTTAGGATCCTTTCTACCAGCTGATCCTCGGCCATTTACAGTTGGGTCAACTGGAATTATGTGTGAAGATGACTTATTTCACATGCCGATCGAAAATTGAGCCCACAGCCACCATTTGCTCAAAGTAACAATGCAAATGGCTGTATATAATATAGGCACCATGGAGTTGAGGTTCCTGAAATATTCTCCCTAAACTATCATTTGAAAATTGAGAAGTTAGAAATTTATATTATATTTGTATGCATCACCTAGATTAATTGAAATGGGTTCTTCATGGTGAGAATGTGTGGTTTCTCAGTAAAGTTTTCAGAAATATACCTTAGAAATTAGAGAAGCTCATTAAAGTGATTTTTTTTTATGAGTCACCTAGATTAATTGAGATGTGTACTAGATGAATTTCACAAAGGTGTTAAAATTCTTTAACATAGTTATCAAGTTTTGTTGAGCATGCATTTCTCTGGCCTTATTTAATATCACAATAATATGTGACCTAGCATGATATGAGTTAATCCTATTAGCTGTTTTAACAATAGGAATTATGGCCTACTTGATGGATATTCACTTTATAATTTAATCCGTAATCGACATTAAAAAAATGTTTTAGATTATTGAGAAAGTAATTTCATTTGACATGCTAGATATCTTTTCACTTAAGGCTGCCATCTAGCTATTTTTTTTTTTGCGTTTGCGGACAGCTACGGACAGCTTTATCCCCTCTATGACGTAATTACTTTAGGGTACTTTCATCCCCTCCTTTGCTGACTGACCAAATACCGCTCGGTTTCCTTTATACAATGACGGTTTTGAGGAATCATTGTACACATGTAATCATGTTTTAAGTTTGAGATTAGTACACATGTTATTGTAGCTTAACTTGTTCACAGCACTAAGAATTCATGTGCAATAACATTTGTAAGGACTAGGGAGTTCTAAACACATACCTTGCCCTATTTCAAAATCCAGATCAAGTCTTTTTTTAAATTTGTGAAAAGTGAAAAATGTGTTTCTCCTTCAAATCCTTATGCGAAAAATGATCCGGTGATACTGAAGGGGCATGACATGCACTCCCTTGTAACCTGATGGCTCTCTGCAATTGATTTCAACTTCTTTAAACATATTTTGGAAAACTCCAAAAAGGTTGATTTACTGAAGTTGGCTTCTATCTCCTTTATTTGCAATTCCTTTATTTTTTATCCATAAAATATTCTGTAAAGTTTTTCATCAATATTCGACTTGGCATAAATAAGATCAACAATAAATGCTGGTACTAATGAGATTAAGTAGTGACTAATTTAACACCAGTTAGTTGACAAGTTGTTGTGTTGGTGTTTATTTGTTTAGGTTCACTATTGATCAGCACTTGGGTAAAAAAACGTGTTAAAGAATGTGCAAGTTCTGCTCGTACACTGTGGTACACTGTGTATTTTACATTCACTCAGTTCAAACAAAATGTGCCAAAAAGGTAAACAAGTACAACTTGTTGGTGCCAAGTTTTATCTCACCTTGTTGAAGGGATCTATTGTATTATAGATGAACAGTATGTTTACAGACTTGTATTGAAAAGTGGTACAGGTGACTTGAACCAAAATCTGTCAATTGATATTTTGTGCATGAGAAGCATTCTTTGGTAAAATCACTGTGTTTCCCTTTCTCCTTTTTCATATGAATCAAACAAATTCAACATCAAGGATACAGAATGTTCGCGTTAATGCTCACTAAAAATTGTCAGTAAAACTTCCACATGTATAATGCTTATTTGACTAGAGCATATTATAGTTTAGAAAAATATTGAGTTTGACTTTCATATACACATTTCTGAAGTATGATAGTAATTTTAATAGTATTTGAGGAAAAAGGATGTAATTCTGAATCACAGACTCTTCAATTAACTCAAATTGTCAAGTTGATTAAAATTTAACACTTTTCATCTAGTTTAGGAGTTACAAAACCAAGTTTTCGATAAGGCCAGTTAATGTGTAATATTATTTAAAGGGATAGGTTTGGTTTACCATCTGTTTGACCAATCATACCTTAGTCTCAGAAATGGGAATTTTTTAGCTAAGCTAATCAGTAATAATGTTCACAGCTCACCTTCGAAATTTTAGCCTTTAAATCCCTGTGTTTCCAGAATTATCTGCGTTGAAAGTTCAAATGAAATTCTTCGTTTGAGGTATATTTGAAGGGAATATGAGATTTTTGTACAGTTCTAGTAGCCTTCTTGTGGAGGCTATCTACATATAATATTTAAAACTCAAATCAAACCCCCAAAATGTCTACTGTGCCCCTTTAAAGAAAGGTTTATGATTAGCCTCATCACAAAATTAAACTTGCAGAAGACAAAATTTTACATCATTCATATCAGAGTGATCTGCCCTTTAATTCCCTGTTGTCATGTCAATATACTATAAATAAGTAAGTAGTAAATAATGTATAGATGATGGTTACCTCAGATTATTTTTTATGCAGACAGTTTGAATAATAAATTGAAAGTTTGAAACATGGTTGTTCGTGATGTCCCATGTTGTTTGCTTGTCAAACGTTGAATAGCTATCAATTGATTTTTGTTTCCTGCCTTGCTAACTATCAATACTTCGTTTAAACTCATGCTAGATAACACAAAGAGTTTTCCCTTCCGAAACCATAGTCGAATAATCAGATAGTGAAAAATTAAAATTTCTTGTTGAAATGCGATTAATTAAGTAATGCATTTTGTATTTTGAATTGCCCAAATTAGATGATCAAATATTGACTTAGTTCTTTATGTTAATTTGCTCTTAAAAGATCAAAGAGATTTGAAATTGGCAGTTTTTTGTAGGCAATATTTGATCAGGATTGTGTTGGATTATTTTCTATAAAGAAATATTAATGATACATTTTTTGAACGGAAAGATAAATTTTGTAAAGGAAAGGCAAATCAACAGTCTACTGGCCACATATTACATACTTGAGGGACTGGTCACTTACTCACATTCAGTACTAGGGTAAAGAATTAGAATTCAACAATTTCCTTATGTATATATGTTGAAATTATTTGGTCTTGGATAAAATATTGGATGAAATATTAGTGATGCATCGCCATAGTTTATTGTCATCTGCGTATTTTGTATTATTCAACTCCCTTTATTATTTTTTTTTTAGATCAAAATGTCGAATTAGAAACCATTAATGTAAAACATGCTGTGAAATTTTATATGACAGTCTATAAAGTTGCACGATAATTGTTCGTACATGTTCATTATTGAACAAAACATTGCCGAACATTGCCGAACACGGTATTACAACATATTTTATTTTATTTTTCTCTTTTCAAAATGTTTGTTGCAAGTTAAATAAACAGCCAAGTTAAAAAATGACATCAAATTCGTAATGTCGTAATGAAATCAACCCACCTTTGGACTTTATTTTCTAAAATTGAACCATTTTATTTTTAGATATTTTGTTTATTATAAACATATTACAAAATGAAAATATTGCATCAAACAAATTTGGAATATGATATAAAAGAAACCTTTTCATGAAACATTAAACATAATGCACTGGATGCTTATTCAGATGTTGCTAGATTTTAAACTCTCAGTTGTCAGGTAAATTTATGGATGTCTGATGTTTCCAAACAATAACATGGATTTCAATGTAAGCAATTATGTAAAAATGATTAGTCATAGTTATTGTGTCATGATTTGTATTTATGAATGTTCTGTACCAGTTGTGATTACCTACTATTTTGGTTGTTTGAAAACATCAGATGAATTGTTGATAATGACTGTTGGTTGTGGAAGATCTAGACTTATGTTCTAATGCTGATTTTTAATTCTAAGATGGTCTTATTTGAGCACTCGCTGAAACAGTTCACCCTGCAATTTCTTGTATGATCAGACTTGATTGTTGATGATGCTTTTCAATCTGTGAAGGTACTTTTAGTACATTTGTTAGGGAAATGTCAGGCTATGTGTAGTCAGACAAAAACTACCCAGAAAAAAAATGTTCAAAAAATTTCTATTCTGTTCATGTATGGAATAAGTTGTCATTGACAACATCGTGTTAATGATTCTATTTATTCTACATGAATTGAACTGGTTATGTTTGAAACTTTCGTGTTTTCAAATTATTTTAATGATTTTAAGCTAATGAAAGATTCTTTTTCTCTTTTCAGCAAAAATTAAAGAAAAAGATCGACAGTTCTTTACCAGATCAACAAGGTGCAGGCAACAACCAAACATCAGCTGACAACGTTTTTAATTTTGACGAACAAGATTCGCCGCAACCACCCACTGGAGGACAATCTTTAGGAAGTGAAAATAAAATTCCACGACTTTCTGTGCAAATAGTGCAGAAGATCAATAACCAACAACAAGAACATTCCCAAACAATTCAAACTAACGTAACAGTTAGCTCGACTCTAAAACATTACTCTGAGGACTCACCTCAACCAGGCAATAATACTACCAATACCAGTATCCATACCAGTGTTGAGTGTAAACAGGAACCTGTTGAGGAACCTCAGTGTCGTCTGTACCAGCAAAATCAAAACAATCAACAGCCTCAGCAACAGACAAGTCAAGCTCCAGGATCTAATAAAAGTGCTAGTTCAGATATTGGATTTGACGACCATAATCTTGACGAACTCTCAGATATCTTGAATAATTTGGATAAAGTTGGTGGGGAACTTCCTCCTGATATTCTGAAGGAACTTGATAAATTCCACGAGATTTGTGTTAAAGTCCAACAACATTCTGAAGGAAATGACTCTAGGAATATGTATAGTCCTTTAAGTAGTACCTCTCCTGGACTCGGTAAGGGATCATTCCCAGACAACATGCCTCCCCGTGGACCTATTAATCCTGTGTTCGAAGGAAATCAAAATGTGAACAATGTGTCAAATCCTTTAACAACAATTCATGGACCTCAATCGGCTCCTATAGCTGATTCTGCTGGACCAGCAGCCTCAACTCTAAAACAAATGGCTGCCCAGCATCAGCAAAATACTCCTTATGGAATGAAAGCTTCAGCAATTGATCCATTTGCTGATCCTTTAAGTGAAAATTTTTCTAGGAGACAAGAATACCCAGCATATTCCCAACATCAAAATTTTGGTAATATGCCACAAGGACAAAATTCATTCCCTTACAATCAGAATCAGTCATTTCAGCATATGCAGACTAAACCAGACATTGCAGCTATGAATTATGGAGGCACCAAACCGCTCACTCATTTTTCAGATCATAATAATCAAGGTTCACAACCACCATTGCAACAACTTCAAAATCAAGTGCGAAGTCAGTTTAATCAGTCCCCTAATCCTCAAATGCAGATCACTCAAACACAACAGATGCAAGTTTCCCATGGTCAACAGAGGTTGCATCTGTCACAGACCCAGCAACTGCAGATGCAACAAGCACCACAACAAATTTCAATGAGTCAGCAACAATCCTTTTCCATGCAAGGTCACATGAATCAACCCAATATGATGAATGATCAAATGAATATGCAGATGATGGAAAAGATGAGACAAGATCAAACTAGACAGCAACAACAACAGCAACAACAAAGACAACAGCAGATGCAGCAAGAAAGGCAGCAACAAATGAGACAGAGACAAGGTCAAATGATGGATCCCCAACAACAAAGTCAAATGCCCTCACAGTATATGAATAGGCCACCTCCAGAGTATAAGATGCAACCAGGTGCTCAATCAGCAACTTTTAACCAAAATGGAGGCTCACTCAATCCCCTTCAAACCATGCAAAATATGGTGGATCAAACAGGTGGCTATGGTATAGTTAAAAGTGAAGTCCCCACACCACAGCCACAAAATGGAGCAAGCATAATGCAGATGTCAGCCATGCAACAATCAATGTCAGCTGCAGTGTCTGGCAATACTCAAACAGCACAAGCTACGAGAGCTGGATATATGGTCCAACATATACAGAGACCTCCATCTTATCCAGGTCAAGGTCAACCACCAACCCGACCCCAACAACAACCTCCATCTACTTACACTAGTGCAATTCTTAGAAACCAACGACCACCTAATGTGAATGTGGGTCCAGACGGATTAAATATATCACAACCTCGTAATCAAGGTCATGAATGGCCTCGTCCGATGATGCCAGGAGGACAAAGACCTCCCATGCAAACACAAACATCTATGACACAACAATCGGCGGCCATGATGCAACAATATAATCAGTATCCTACTTCTACTCAAAGTATGGCACCAGGAGTTATGCATATGCAAAGACCTGAAATGAATGCAATGCAGAACCAAAATGCTTTGATGCCAAATGGTTCTGCGACAGTGATGATGCAACAACAGAGTATGCAAATGACACAGCATGGTGTGATGAGACCTCACCAACCAGGCTCTTATAATATGGCAAATTCCTCACAAATGCCCAATGCAAACTCGGCTCAAGGTGGTTATCCATCCTCTAGCACACAAGACGATTTTATGAATTTCTTAGACAATGCTCAAAACAGTAACTCGGACATCTTTGATAGTTTGGGACATAACTCAGGAACAACAGACTTCAATTTACTGGATGAAATCTTGGGTAAATGAAAACTGTTTTTGTAGTAATGTGTTTTCTATCTAACAGTGCTGTGAGTTAAAAGAGTCCAAAAAACAGTGTGTGATGCTTATTCCTCGTGGAAAAGTGGCTCTTAAATCCAAACATGTGCCGCAGATAAGAATAAGTGATGCTATCTTACACTTCAATCTGGTGCCGTGCTCGTGAGTAATGTGTTTCATTCTCAAATTGATTAATGTGCAGCCAATTTCAAAATGGCTGCCATATGACTTCTGGAGGAAAGAATATCTAGTTAGTAACTTTAAACCTAAGGGTACAGAAAACTACAAGACGGATCAATATCAATTTATAAAGGGTAAAAGGATGTACTTTTGTGATTCGTTTCAAGTCATCGGACTTTATATTTACTCAGTGAAAGTGAAGTGCGTCTATAGACATCTAGATAAATGTAAATGTGGTAAAAGTGGTTACAAACGTATCTACCTCTTGATTAGTCACTTTGAGTTATTAGTTCACACTATCTGCTCCTACCGTGGACATCACCACAATCCTATCAAATGACACCTATGAGATGGTCTTTTTGACCAAGATACTGACAAAGTTTTTGTACAAATTATTTTACTAGTGTATAACCTATCAGAAGTGCTACCTAATATTTGTGGAGCAAAAGAAAAGGGACCATTTATTATATTTATGGAAGATTTATAATGTATGATAGATCTCAGTGTAAGACATTTTTTTTCCAGATCTGACCAAATATAGGCAGACAACGACAGACGACAACACTCGCATACATCATTCATACCTTTTTTGTATCCATTGATATGAGATTTATTGTTTAAGACAAGAATTTGAGATTGATATACAATGTAGTCAACTTTGACATCGGTGGATGATTTAGGTAGTTTTAGTAGTGAAAAACACATTATAGGTTTAGTGTATATGATGTCTATTACTATTTATTCTACCTAAAAACCATCTTAATACAGACTATATTATCCATACAGTAGTAAACTAAAGAGCCAAAAAGACAGGTAGAACAGACAGAAAAAACATATACAAAAATTTGGTGCGGGCATGAGATTCCAGTGTAATATATAGATCTGTCTTATCTTGACACTGTGTATCCTGGACCAAGTCTATTCTGGTCTCTGGACGCTGTCTATTTTGAATCCGTCTGTTATAGAACCTGTCTATTAGTATGCTTAAAGAATAAAGCTGATATCAATGGATATAAAAAATAAAATCATTTGTATAGTATATATAGATTTTAATAACATTGTAAATATAACATATATTATTATTAGCGATTATTACAGATTTTTACAGTAGACAAACTTTCCAACACCTATATTTAATGACGTAAGATTAACACTCAATACAATTCATTGTGCTTATTTCATATATAGGCTTTTTGTTAACAATACTACTTGCAATTTCATTTCACTAAGCTTGTTTTAATACCACTACTTAAATATACTTAACTTAATGTAAAATCTTAGTGCAGAAGTTTAATCTAAAATCTTAGTGCAGAAGTTTGATAAGTTTGAATTTAACCAACTAACTTTTAAAGGGACAGATGCAGGTTTTTTTTTTGACCAATCATACTTTAGTCTCAGAAACAGAATTTTTTTTAGATAAGCCTATCAGTAATAACGATCACAGCTAACCGTCAAAGTTTTCGCTTTTAAATCCTTGAATCTAGAAATATCCGCGTTTGAATGTTTAAATGATTTGAGATACTCTGTGATATACAGAAAAGCATATATAGAAATAGTCAATTCCTAGTTTGAACTATTGTTAAAGGAATTATACGACTTCTATACATTTCTAGTACTTCTGAAGAATATATACATACATTCAAGTCAAGACTAAAATCAACCCCCAAAAATGGGGCATCTGTCTCTTTAACATGTAGAGTCATCTAAGTATTTGCTTTCGCAGCCTAATTTGTAGTTTTTTACAGTACATTTCACAATGGAAGCCTGGTGTCTAGTTTGTCTGAGATTAAAGAAAACAGTCTCCAGGACATAATAATCCAGGATACACCTTTTTTTTTATTTTTTAATTGCAAACACACCAGGTTTCAAACATTTTCTTTTCTATTTGCAAGTTTTGACTGCTTTTTTCTTCAAAATTTCAATATCCTAAATAATGCTATGATAATTATTGACAAACATATGTTGAATTGCAACAGTAAATTAAATTTGTTAAGGCATTTATGATCACACAGAGTCCAAAATATATAACTTGAAAATTGTATTTTATCTCAAAATCATGGGGTTTTTAGTTTGATGAAATTTTCCAGGTGTGGAAATTACAAAAAATTACTAAGAAAATCTGACTATTATCGAATGCAAGGCTTACAATATCTCTGGATATCCTTTCTACTACATACACCTGTATATCATCAAAAAGATATGGGTATAATTTATCTACACACATAATACTTTTTGCTTATATTTATATAATACACACTTAACAGTTGGAAATACATTACAATTCTTTTTTAGATCTGTCTTAATGTAGGTCAAACTCACTTGAATACATTAACTTGTTATAATATTAATTGTCAACTTAGATAATATTTATGTAGGCTATATTTTGAACTATAGAAATAATTTTGTCAGCATTGATAGAGCCTAAATTGAGCTATCTGCAACACTTTTCAGTTGTGAAAGTGACACTACTTTAGTATGCATTTCCATTGTAAATCAGTATTAAATTGCAAGAGGACACATTGTTGGATATTGATTGTGAAATGTGATAAGAATGGTTCAATTTGAGCTCTATTATTGAATGCTATGCTTTATATTTCTGTGAAAGCAAATATTTAGATGACAACTCCCTTTTATTCTTTGAACTTCTGGGGGTATGAGAAGAGTGATATAAAAATAAAATCTCCTAAAATCTAAATTTCATAAAAAAAATTCCACATTTCATGAAATTGAATTGGTTAAAATTATTTTGTTATTTGAAATTTATGTTTTCTCTACTTTTAATTGCAGGAGGAATTTTTTTTAAGTTTCCTTGAATAAGACTGCTGTCAATTCTTATTTTCTTTTTTAAACTGCTTTTAATTATCCAACTGCTGAAAATGCTTTTCTTTGAATGCCATATTTTTTATTTGTTACCAAACTTTTTATGTAAATTAAAGTTGAAAGTCTGAAATGTCTGGAAGCATTAAAAATATGAAACAAAGTAAATTATAATTAGTTAAATGAAAATTGTACAAAAACATTTATTGACAATGATCAGAACAATATTAGCTATTCTATTATTAGTGAAATTTTCCTTCCAATATGAAATTTTAAAGATGCTGTTCCATTTATAAAATCAAAACTTGATCTCTTAATTTTAATTTTTCTAATGTCTGGTCCATTGATGCTCACCTCCATAAAATTCATTTGAAATCATATTTGAACAAACTTCTCAGAAATTTAGATCCAATCATATTTGAACAATTTGAATATTTTTCTCAGAATTTCAAATTGAATATGATGCAAGGAAAATTCTCAAAAAAAAAGATAAAAAAATTCATACAAATCTGCCTGAAAATTAATTCTATAAAACATAGGCAAAATAAGTTTGAACAGCTTCTTTAAAACTTGTTTTTAGCTGAACAGTTTGCTTCCAAGACAATCTTTGTTAAATTTTAATGAGGTTCTTTGTTTACATGATTTGATATGCAGGCAACAAAAAGTCAATTAATTGATTCATTTTCTTCTAGCTATTGTTCCACATTAATTAAAAATGTCTTCTTTTGTTAGTTTAGACATCAAAACTCAAACAATCTTTGTTAATGTTATTTTTAAAGGCAATAAAAAATCTAAATTTATTTTAAATCTTGTTTAGATGTCTTTGATATCTTAGATTCAATTCCAAGATTATTAAAAGCCTTATATCTATATGAGTTACACTGATGGCAATTGATTTGTACCATTCCAATTTTGAAATGCCTGGTCTTGCAAATCCATTTAAACTGAGCTATTATGACATCACTTTTGCAAAAGCTACTATTAATAACGACTTTTGTGATAGTGACATTTGTGATAGTGACGTCAGAAATTGCCTAATTTTAGTGGAATTGCAAAAACCACGGATGTCTTATTGAAATTTGGAATGGTGCAAATCGTTTCTAGCAGTTTCATCAATACACATAAAATTTCTAGAAAACCTCTTTACAATCCGTTTAATGCAAGGAAATAGAATGGTTCCATTTTGTTTCCATTCTAATTAGGTTTCAAATATGTTAAGATTAGTCTCTACAAATCCTTTAAGACATTGAAAAAGACGTTTTTAAATTTTAAGTCTCTGTTAATAATTATTTATTGATTGAGATGAAATGTTTGTTATTATAATGACTAGGGTTTAGATGAACATAAAAAAATCTATTTTAATATTTTGTTACATGTATATGAACTTAAAAAAACCAAAGAATAAGTTAATTTTTGTTTAATATAAGTTATAAGCATAATTATAAAATCTTTTTCAAACATATTCTTTCTTATAATTTATATGTTTGTACATCTTATACCTTTACTCTTTTTTTTTGACATTCGTATTTTAGAAAATTGTAATTTTTAATTCAAAAATGCTTTTATGGCAGTAGTATTTGATAAATTGCTTATGTTATAAGCAGAAAGCATCATGAAAGACTCATTTGTAAGCAATTGATACACAAAAGAATACAAAATAGTACCCATTCTCATATTCATAAAAATAGATTTAAAACATTACAAAATCTACTAAGAAACCAAATAAAAATCAGTATTTTTTATTAAATATTTAGAATTTTAACTTTTTATTTTTAAGAAAAAAGAAAGCAAAGTTATTTATGTTTGACAAGGCTGTTAGTGACTTGTTTGACAATTTTTAATAAATCATTTCCTTACACATCAAACTTATTAACCATATTACAGGAACTCATCCTCCAGAAACCTCATATTAAAGCTAGATTATTTTGATACATTCTCATATTTTCCCCACCAATTGTTCATTTTAAAGTAGCAAATGTCAATGCTTGAGTTTAAGATAATTTGAATACATTTGTATAAAACAATCAAAAAATTCCTTAGCAAATCAAATTTCCAACTTTGTTTGATTTACCCTCAAATTACAACATTTTTGGCTCCTTAAAATATTGATTGTTTCTTCAAAACCAAATCATCTAATTTCTCTAAGGGTGAGCTACTTTAAACTCAACATTGAGTACACATGCACTTGTTCTATAGATTTAACCTTTTTTAGATATTTTTATGCACTATTCTTAACATTTCATTTGGGTCTATTTTAAGCACCAGCATAAATTCAATATGTGTTAACGACATTTTTATATTCAGAACAATTTGTCATTTCTATTTAGAGTTAATTTAAAGGGATTTAGTAATTGATTATTCTATGAAAAATATTAAAAGAATTACTGTAATTGAATACATCTTTGATATTTTAAAAAGTGGAATTTAATCCTGAATCTGTAGGTATATTCCAGTACAGTTTTTTTTGCCCTAGTTGTGAATTTGATGGCAAATTTTTCAGTTTTAACTTTTGATTTATGGAATCATATTCAATACCTTTAAATCTGCCAAGTTTATTATCAGTTCAGTTTATTTTCATGCAAACTAAATTACATTTTGTTTAATCTATTGTTCATCATCTTCACAATGTCAAGCTATTACAAACATGGTCTTACACCTTGACTGCAATAG